AAAAAAAAAAAAAAAACTCGTACGGGGCCCGTAGCGTACGAGTAGCATACGAGTACAAGAGTATGAATCCATACTCGTACGAGGGTGCGTAGAGGTGGCAACGTAGCCACTGGGCTAGCTCCTTCCTTTTGGAGCAGTCCAGCTTTATGGCGCGACCGTTTTCGGTCGTGCGATCGATAAAATCGCACGGCCGAAAAACCGCCATGCAGAGAGTAGCATGACCTACGCAAGGATGACACTATTTTTTTGCGTTATGAAATTTGAAATTGCAGCAGCGTTGTGGTTTGACGAGGCACTGCTTCTTCCCGTGGGAAAGGGGGAAACTCGTTTTCATTGTGCACATCTGGTGAGTAGGGCGGTGAGGGTCATTTTTCGTGGGGTCGCACAACCCCACCATGCCCTGAATCCATTTGGATTTGGACTCTGGTCTACATTCCAACAGTTCATGGCTGGGCCTTGGAGCCACGGCCTTCCAAAGGGCGTTGTTAGGCCAATGGGCAAAAAAAAAAAAGAAAAAAAAAAATGAAAAAAAAATGAAAAAGTGGATCAAGATTTTGAGAAAATCTGTATTTTGCAGTTTGCGCCAATATTTGTTTGGTGGCGTAAATGATTTTGGTTGGATCTGAAAATTTTTCTCTGAGTAGGTGGGCACCTATGCCACGCGCATGCATTTTTTCAGATTTTGTTATTTGACGAAATTTTAATTAAAAATCGCTAGAGTCAGGGTACTTTTTGCATCCCGCTTTGAGTCTGTCAAGATTTTAGCTCGTGATTATCACGAGTTATTCTTCCCCCCCCCAGCCGTAGCACTGAGCTGGCACCCCTCAGAACGGGTGCCAGACAGAAAAAAGGCAGCCAATCGCTGTCCAGGAGCCATTTGGCTGCCTATTTTTAATGTGGGAGACCACTGTGGAAAAAAAACAAAACGTAGACAAAGACCATGGCTGGGAATTCTTCAACCCATAACCACAGCAAGTGAGTGCAACTCAGGCCTTTTTAAGGTCTGGTTGTGACCCTTGCCTCCAGCAGCAGACTGAGGCTTCTTTAAGGCTTTGAAGCCTCCGAATTGGCAGCCCTCCAGATAGCAAAGGGCTTGATTTATCCGCCTTGTATTGAAGCCCTATGAGGGCTGCTTGCGCTTAAACCCATGCGCACTGAGCTTGCCCCCATTGTTAATGAGACGCTGCTCCGGAACTTGGGTCCAGAGCCCGATGAGACAGCTTGAAGCCATCATCACAGGATGTACAAGCCTGCAGAGGGACATGTATATATATACACAAGGCGAAGCAAGCTGGACAATGAAAGTTATGGGTCACAACAACTCTCATTCCACGGTGACAGCATAGGAAGCAAGGAGAAGTGACAAGTGGCAGTTACAGAGTGATTTCGGGATTCAGCAGCTCGAGTGAAGGCAGATAGAGGCACATATGAACCCATAACTTAAGTGATGTGAGTGTCCCACCTCCAAGACTATATTAGGAAGGGGTGGACCCAAGCAAGGGCACAGCGGAGCAGCAACTTTACATAGCATATGAGGCTATGGGCAGGTAGTGAGACCTAGTGGACTGAGGTCCGGGAGCAGCTAAGCACAGCTAGGAGGGGCGTGGAGGAGCTGCCGGTGGGAGCTGCTGCTGCTAGAGGAAGTGCTGCCTGGAGGAGGAGAGTGGAGGTCTGCAATAGAGGTTGAGAGAGGAGGCTCTCATAGCCACCATCTCAGCAGTAGTGGAGGTGCTGCTGGCTATAGCCACAGTCATAACGACGGTCGTGGGGGAGGCACTGTTACTTTTTGCGGCAACTGCGACGACGACGCAAACTTTTACGGCGGTGGTACGGAAGTGCTGCCGAACTTCTGCGGCGGCGACGCAGGCTTTTACAGCGGTGGTACGGAAGTGTTGCCAAACTTCTGCGGCGGCGACGCAAACTTTTACGGCGGTGGTACGGAAGTGCTGCCGAAGTTTTGCGGCGACGACGCAGGCTTTTTATGGCGATGGTACGGTGGTGCTGCCAAACTTTTGCGGCAACGACGCAAGCTTAACGGCGGTGGTACGGAAGTGCTGCCGAACTTTTACGGCGGCGACGCAAGCTTTTTACGACGATGGTACGGTGGTGCTGCCGAACTTTTGCGGCAGCGACGCAAGCTTAACGGTGGTGGTACGGAAGTGCTGCCGAACTTTTGCGGCGACGACACAGACTTTTTACGGCGATGCTACGGTGGTGCTGCCGAACTTTTGCGGCGGTGACGCAAGCTTAACGGCGGTGGTGCGGAAGTGCTGCAAAAATTTTACGGCGACGGCACCAAGCTTCACAGCGGCAGTGGGGAAGCGCTGTTGAAAATTTTAACAACGTTGGCACAGGGTTTACGACGGTGACGGCAGTAATTTTACATTGAGCAGCAACTGGGCCTTGGTGCAGGAAAGGTGCCACTAAAGTGGGGTATCTTGAGGCGGCGTGGACTTGACGGCGCAGTGACGCGGTGACATTGGAAGCTAGTGGCGACGATACTTACTGAAAAATAAGTAAGGGGGTGTTGTTCAGGTGACCGCAGCAAGAGAGTGGTTTGGATCATTTTGTTGACGACTGGGGAGGACTACCGGCGCGTCAAAGGGAGCATAATTTTATACGGTCTTCTTGAGTGTACCGTTCAACTTCACTCAAGGTCAGTTGAATGACTCTGACTTCTTTTCATGCCTATGTGGACCTGCACTTTGCTTGACCCTGTTCCTTTTGAATATTCAAAAGAAAAGGTAGAGGAAAGTTGTGCAAGTCATGCATGTGAATGGAAAAGTCTGACTCGAGTATGGGATTGTACTGTTTTCTTTCGAACGTGTTTCCTTTGCCGTCTGTGCAGGTAGGGAGAGGGATGCTTACAAAGGAGATTGATTATGCCTATTTGAGATGAAGGAATGAATTGTCTTCTTTCTACCTTTCACCTGCCTACTTGTCAAAAAAAACTTGTTGTTTTGAAAAAATGTTATTCAACGTGTGTCAAAAAATCGATTCTATTGAAATAAAGCAGATAAGGTCAAACAGATTTAGCTTTTCCCAAGAACTGACCCATTCTATCCCGAACGACCTTATCTACCTGTACCTGTCTAAATGATTCTCTTTTTCTTTGTCTCTTCTGATTTCTTTTCGTCTAAGTTACCCCCGGGACTTAAGAAAATAAATAAATTAAAAAAAAAAAAAAAATTGAAAGCTACATGCGGTGGACGCATATACTATCTTTAGGAAGCATCTGGGGCGGGGGTTCGTTGCTTCAGGAGCCGACCTTGTTATCGACCCAGAGTGGACCGTTCTATGGGGGGGTACTTGCCGATTCGGTGGAGAAGCCCGACTTCTGAGATCCGAGTCTTGTGCTCGGACGAGGAGGAGGAGTACCCCAGACCGCTTCCTAAAGGAAGAGACATGCAACACATCAAGCAGGACCCCTCATCAAGAATCAATCGCAAAGTAGTTTGTCATCCGAAAAGATTGAAAATGGACGAAGGCATGTATGTGCGTCGAGTTTCAGGGCAACAGTAGGCTGGAATGAAAGACTTTGGCAACGCGTCTCATCAAGTCAAGACTAAAGCAGCCGACTACCTTGTCGGCTGCATCTATGTTATTGTCGGTGACCAACACCTTGTTGGCGGTTGTATGATTGCTTTGTGGTGTTCGACCTGAGATGATCGGATTTTATTTCGATCTTGTGTTATTGGATGTATTGTGTGGTGATTCGAATACATTAGTTATCATATCATATTGGATATTTCTGTCGACGACGGTCGATTTTCTTTTAATGTAATTGTTTGTGAATGTTATAATTCTCTTTGGCTATATGTCTAAAGGGACTAGGATTAATTTGGGTTTCACGCTTGGTTGAGACTGTCCTAGTAGACCAACGTCCGCTTCGTACCTAGGAGAGCAGCGCCCTAGAAACGGACGGCAATCGGGTCCACTTGGCGTTAACCAAACGTATCTATACTACGGTTAACGAGCAAACGCCCTCGCCTGACCTACCTCTGCAGTTGCATCTAAAAACTTTTGCACGTGGGTCAGTAGGTCGGTAGGGATACGCTTCTAAGAGTGGTGACAACCCCTTAGGGAAGCAAGCTTATGCCCCGCGAAAACCTATCCTGTCCTAGGGGACCGCAGGATGTATAGTTGGTGTACCCGGCTAGAGCGGCGACGAGACGACGCGGCCATGGCCGTCTCGGCGGCTCGCGGGATTAGTTAGGCGTCGTTCCCGAGTTGTCTCTAGGTTTTGTTTTGTTTATCTCCTGCGTAACATGGTCGTGAGGACCCTCGTGCTCACGCGGGGGTCGATGCGCTCGACAGGTGACGCCGTTGCCGAGGATAACGACAAACTACCGTTGTCCCTGGTGGAACTACACTCGGGATTGGATGATCTAAAAATTATACTCGCTTTTATCTCAGACTCGCAAAGAAAATGTAACTTCAAAATCATTTTAATAATGAGTTCTAGCTCTAAGAACTATTATTGTGACTCTCATTCACAGTCATTTGTAAGGTTCATTGATAGATGATTGAACATCTGTGGTATATTTTCATTGATGAAATGACATCTGAATAAGTTATTTTGATGGTTGAGCATTATTATTGCAAGTGGGACCTGAAATTGTTTCGGTGATTGTTAAATTATCAATCAGATAATTCGATCATTAATATAGTTTATGCCTTTTGCAGGGCGATAAAATGACGGGAGAAACTTCTACCGACGTGCCTCTCTTCATAGGTAGCGGGGTTGTTGAATTCTTACAGGTCTTTCAGGCTTTGCTTTGGGAAGAAAATCACAAGTTCCTTTTCATTTTGAGGTTTGTGATTTAAGAATTGGAAATTGAGGTTGGACATCTCCTACGCGCTTCTGGAACCTGGAATGAGTTCGAAAAGTTGATGATTGTCAAATTCTCGAAACCGTCCGAAGGAGAGAAAAAAGAAGAAAGCAGAAGTCATCATGACAAAGATATGACGGAAATAACTCGACTCGTAGAACAGAGAAATGTGGAAAGGGAAAGTCTGCCAAGAGTAGACGTCCCTCTCTTTGACGGTGATTTTGTTTCGACTTTCTTTGAAAAATTTGAACAGTTGACATCTGTTAATGATTGGGATGAACCTTAGATGTTGAGGCGAGGTCTTGGATATGTTGACAAAGATCTCGTGAGTAAAGTCCAACGAATAATTGAGACTTCATTAGTGTGGCCTCATTTTTACGATGCCATGTTAGACGAATTCTGGTGAGGCGATACAGTAACAACAATTGAGGATTTGAGGAATGTTGAGCGAGATGCATATGTAGTAAATAAAAAGTTTTTGGCTGAATTTGAACGGGTGGATCGTCGAATTCAGGGGTTGACAGATAGACAGAACAGTTTTGCTTTTCTTGAAAATTTTTCCGAAGGGGAACTGTGTTTGCTTACCCGAGGATAAAGTAGTCAATTGGAAAAAACATCGGTCAAATTTTATTGACGGAGAATTTAGTCGAATATTTGACGAGACTCTTCGATTACAGCTTCGCTTACAAAAAATTGAGAGAGAGTGTCGAGTTGACAAGCGAAAGAGAGATTCAGATCCTATGACAAATCTCTCAGAAATCAGAGGAATACTGGAAAAAAAAAATGACGATTGTTGTCATGAGTAGCAGAAGACGAGGATAGCACGTCCTTTGGAGGACCAATGTGAGCGAGATAGGGACAATGAGGGAGATCAGTTGGATAATTCTTCAATGTCAACTACTCAAGATTGCGAGTAAGCGTATCGAAATCAATGAGACCGGCGAGTAAAGAAAGGGAGATCCTATTGGAAGAATATTACCTGTAAGAGATGTGGTAGTACCGGACACACTCCGAGTAGATGCAAGGGATTGACGGTTACGAAAAAATAGATTGTCGAAATTCTGATTTCAATTCCTGAGTTGATTATGAACTCAAAACATTTTTTTGTGAGATTAATAAGATCAACTCAAGGTTAATGTTTCGTTTGATATGATTTTTATAACAAGAGAATTCTGTCTGATTTGATATGTTCATTCTATTATCTATTGAAAAATTATCTCATTAGTTTATTATTGAAGAATATACGATAAGGATCACTATGAAATTCTATGTGAAAGCATTTGTTTTGTTGTTGTAAGTATTTGGTTGAATATAAGTTGTTGAGAAATTGTGAATTTGTAGGTAGACGACTATGGTTGCTGCGAGGGGAGAAGTGACTACCTCTCCTTGTGTCAGACATAATCATCGTACCCCTATAACCAGGGTCTAGCCAACCTTGGTTGTAGAAGGTAAGGTTGTTCTACTCTACATGTGACAGATTGATGAACGGAGACACTGAAATTTGGATGAAATGTGAAGAAGTTTAAAACGCAATCAAGACCTGGTCCCAAATAGATCTCATTTATTTTAGGATGAATATTATAGAATGTTATGGCGACTACTGAGGACTTGTTCCCATTAGTAGACTGGGAGGTCATTCCCATCAGCAACTGAGGAGTCATTTCCATATTGATTGAATGAGAGACCCACGGGGGGTTAAGCTTGTGAAAGACCATGGATTGACTCCCATCCGGAAACTGGGGAGTGACTTCCATCAGCAACTGGGGACTTGTTCTTATCAGTGGACTGGGAGGTCATTCCCATCACCAACTGGGGAGTCATTTCCATATTGGATGGTTTGAAAGACCCGCAGGGGGTTAAGCCCGTGCCGTCATTCATTCTCCATTCTTTTCTCCCCACGGGTCTTTTTCGACGAAAGGTTTCAGTACGAACCCTTCGATCTTCACAAAAGTTGTTGGTGCGAACCACATAGGTTTTCCCTTCCGTACTTCCTTGTCCCCAACTCGTAGTGCCCATGAATTAACATGGAGCTGCATGTTATCCTCATCCAGGAATCCATTTATTGGTGGTGTTTCCACCTTGGCCTCTCCAGGCTTTTCCCATTCTATCCTACTTAACCCATCAACCCTGTTCTTGTTCCCGGAGATATGCTCAAACTGAAAATCGAATATCGAGATGTATGTGAGTCATCTGGCGATTGTAGGATCCGTGGGTGAAAAATTCCTGAGAGAATACATAAGGGCAGTTGGATTTATTCTTCAGATAAATCACCTCTCGTAGAGGTAGTGTCTAAAGACACGTAGGCAGTGTAACACTGTCAGAGCCTCCTTCTTGAATTGAGAGTAGTTCCGCTCGGTAGCATTGAGGGTTCGACTTTCAAAACGCAAGGGTCTCTCCTTCCCTTCTTGATCTCCTTGTATCAATACTCCCCCTAATGCAGTGAGTCCGACATCAGTTTATATTATGAAG